GTTTTCAATAGCAAGGGCAATAACTCATACTAATTATTTTTCGATTTTTCTGATTTTCAATAGGATTTATCCTTTCGTCAAGAGGCGTCAAGAATTGTCCCTTTTAGAGTGTTAACAAGCTAAAACTTGAACGCGTTTTCAAGAACTAGGGCAATAACTCATACTAAATATTTTTTGATTCTTCCTTCCAATAGGTTTCATCCTTGGGTGATTACGAACATTCACACCAAGTTTCATCAAAATCTGTCAAGAATTGTGCCTTCTAGAGTGCTTAAACAAGCTAAAAATTGTATGGGTTTTCAATAGCAAGGGCAATAACTCATACTAATTATTTTTCGATTTTTCTGATTTTCAATAGGGTTTATCCTTTCGTCAAGATCCGTCAAGAATTGTCCCTTCTAGAGTGTTTACAAGCTAAAAGTTGAACACATTTTCAAGAACTAGGGCAATAATTCATACTAAATATTTTTTGATTCTTCTGATTTTCAAGAGGGTTCATCCTTGGGTGATTACGAACACTCACAACGAGTTTCGTCAAAATCTGTCAAGAATTGTGACTTCTAGAGTGTTTACGAGCCAAAAATTTAAATGCGTTTTCAAGGGCAATCTCATACTAGATATTTTTAGATGTTTCTGATTTTCAAGAGGGTTCATCCTTGGGTGATTACAAACACTCCAGTCCTGTCTCGGTTTGCTGGGTATTTTGGGTTTGACGTCACTCTACTCTGTCACTTGATCTATAGATCTGGTAGCCTGGTTATCTGGTCCAGCTCAGTATTCATATAAACCACATTGCATGCATGCAGCATACTTTTTATAAGCCAACATGACTAGCTAACTAAAACCTCCTGTAACTTTAAGACCTAAATTTAAATCAAATGTGATCAACACATTTCACTAACTGATTTAAAGTCAGTTGAATTCAGATTAAGTCTTACATACAAGAGAAAAAAAGTTTAAAGTCTACATGTTTCAATTATAGTGAGACATTATATCTAATGGATAATTAAATATCTTTTTCTTCAAGTGAATTTTTTTTCCTTGTATTAGATGCAGAATATGGTCATTACAAATTCATTGGTAAACCAAATTTTACTTGACCTAGTGTTAGAGATTTTAGTGAACAAGTAAACTTTATTGTATACCTAGAATAAAACCTAGTAGCTTACTCTGAATAATGTCTAGAGATCATGCTAGCTCACCTACATTTCACATATTAAACAAATAAATACAGTCATTTACAGATGTTTCTGTATTAGTTTCATTCATATTGCATTGTACATTGATTTTTACAGTGTCGTTCAATTTCAATATGTGAAGCTTTTGAGTTTAACTACTTTTCTTTCATTTTAGGGCGTGTTGTCAAAGTCAGATATAACGTTTGTAGATAACAAGCCTCAATGTCCTGTTTGTCTCAAGACATTTGCCCATACTGGCAGTTTGCGTTTACATGTCAAAGAAAGGCACATGAATGAACAAACAGGTCCATGTTTATATTGTGGTAGAACATTTACAAGAATTTCATCCCTCAGAAGACATATTCATAAAGTTCATCTTGGAGATGTAGCTCTGTAATAAAAGTAAGATTACAATTTTCTTCATGCACAGGATCACAATTCTCGATGCTACATAGCTCAAGCATGATACAAATATGAATATTAAGATATATGATATTGAACAGGAATGCATAGTGTGTAGTTCAGCAGGAATATTAATAAGAATATAAATGTACAAGAATGCATATCAAATAAAAATTAAGCAAGTACAATTGAGTTAACTTTAAAAAGCAGGGATATGAAATGTTGAATAGGAATATTAAGGGCACAAATAGGGTACCAATTGAGATGAAGGAATCAAAAGGGTACAAATGGAAGGAATTAATTGAGCTGGAATATAAAGGGTACTATTGAAAAGGAATGTAAGGATTGAGCAGAAATGCAAAGGGTAGAACAACATGGAAGTTTTAAAAAACAATTGAGAAGGAATAGAAAGGATACTAATCTTTATTGACAGAGTTACACTATAATGTAATCAAACATGATATTGATTAGCTGTTTAAACTGTAATCATACTCTTAAATAATCAAAGATTAAGATAAGTTAGTATATTGTTATAATATAAAATATAATAATCAGTACCTTTTCTTTCTATATTTTAGATATATGCTCAGGATAAAGTGATATGTCCTAAATGTAACAAAGAATATGCTAACCAGACATCTTGGAGGGAACATGATAGATCTGTACATCAAAATTTACCACGAGGTCCACAATGTCCAGTTTGTGGTCAAAGATTTTCCAGACCATGTCGACTTGAAAAACATCTACAGAAAGCTCATGGTTGTCTTTATGATAAACATCCTTGAGCCAGAAATAATTCAAAACTTATACTTCATAAATGGCTTGTTTAAAATAAAAATCTGTTAATCAAAATCAGTAACCCTGCTTAAGCAATTTCAAAGTCAAAACTCGACTTCATAAATAGAACAAGCCCTGGCATAGCCAATGAGTTTTGAAACGGACACACCATAAGCTGGTGACAGAGGTATGTTACTGCACATGAATGGAAAAATCAAAGTCGTCACGTTTGTCTGATACAAAGATCGTGATTGTTGATAATTTCGAGTAACAGGTCTAAGTAAGACACTTTAGTCTTAGAATGTTGTCCCTGCAAATATACAATATAAAGATCTCAGATTGGTTGATCTGGTTTTAATCGAAATTTCTTGAAGATGTACAAAAAGCACCAGATCAATATTATGTTAAAGATCCTTTAACATTTGGAGATCACATAAAAGGAGGCTGTATGCCCCTTGTTGAAAACTGTAGGATGTCTTTATTAACTGAGGACACTATATAACAATTTACAAGAAAATGAATACTTAATTCATCAATCATATGATATAACCTGTGTTTATGTTTGTGTATTGTGTATATTTATATTTGTATTAATAAATAAAATATTTGCCAAGCTTATATCATGTACTTAAACAATTAAACCAAATGTTCTGCTTGTAAATAAAAAAGAGAAACCATTTGCCCATGATTTTTAATGTGAAAGGGGAAAAAAAGTGATGGCCAAATCTCATTTAGCAAATTGGATGATCACAATGAACACCTGTGAAGAACATTTATTGACATTAAAAACATTGCATATGCAAAGCAGATCAGATTGAATTTTGACTGAATGACAATTAACAAATTACATAAAATACAAATAATCAATATTCATCTCAATATGTCAGTTTTAATTTCTTTTAACACAATATCCATCTCAATATGTCAGTTTTAATTTCTTATAACACAATATCCATCTCAATAGATCATTTTTAATTTCTTATAACACAATATCCATCTCAATATGTCAGTTTTAATTTCTTATAACACAATATCCATCTCAATATGTCAGTTTTAATTTCTTATAACACAATATCCATCTCAATAGATCATTTTTAATTTCTTATAACACAATATCCATCTCAATATGTCAGTTTTAATTTCTTATAACACAATATCCATCTCAATATGTCAGTTTTAATTTCTTATAACACAATATCCATCTCAATAGATCATTTTTAATTTCTTTTAACACAATATCCATCTCAATAGATCATTTTTAATTTCTTTTAACACAATATCCATCTCAATAGATCATTTTTAATTTCTTATAACACAATATCCATCTCAATATGTCAGTTTTAATTTCTTATAACACAATATCCATCTCAATATGTCAGTTTTAATTTCTTTTAACACAATATCCATCTCAATAGATCATTTTTAATTTCTTTTAACACAATATCCATCTCAATATGTCAGTTTTAATTTCTTATAACACAATATCCATCCTTTCAATGAGCCAAGCTATATATTATGTAATAAATAACTGATTTATTTGAATTTTTCAGATGAATATAAGTTCTAATAAAAGAAAAGTTACTTGTCCTGCTTGTGGTAATGTATACATTGGAGTCAATAATTTCAGAGAACATTTTCGTGTGCTGCATATGAACGGTACACGGGGACCAAGTTGTCCCACTTGTGGTAAAAATTTTACCAGAAGATGTAGATTGGTACAACATATCAAAAAGAGGCACCCAGATTCAATGCCTTAACCATTTTCCTGTCTGTATTCATTATAAGTTTGAACTACTGAAAATTGTTAAATGAGCATGCAACAATCTTATGATGACTAAAACATCAAACAGTATTATCATCCAGGCCTGTATTATTTATATGATTTTTAAAAGATATATGTATTTTATTATTAAGCCCTCCCTACCCTTCATAGAAATTCATTATAACAAGACACTATGAATACTGGAGTTTATCACACATAACATTTGAATGTTAGTGCACCCACCAAAAATGACAATAAAGGCCTGAGTCTGGAAAAATATGTGGCAGTTGAGTAACAATCACCAGTATGAAATATTCGACCTTCTTTTGAAATTTTTGGGATGATAGAGTCTTTACAAGCAAAAAATTCAACCTCATACTAAATGTTTTTCAATTTTTTCATCCTTGGGTGATTACAAACACTCAAACCAGGTTTCCTCAAAATCCGTCAAGAATTTTGCCTTCTAGAGTGTTTACAAGCTGAAAATTGGACGTGTTTTCAAGAACAAGGGCAATCTCATACTAGATATATTTAGATGTTTCTGATTTTCAATAGGGTTCATCCTTGGGTGATTACAAACACTCACACAAAGTTTCGTCAAAATCTGTCAAGAATTATGCCTTTTAGAGTGTTTATGAGCATTTCAAGAACAAGGAAATAACTTTTACTAAATATTTTTGGGATTTTCATTAGGGTTCATCCTTGGTGATTACTAACACTTTTGTCAAAATCTGTCAAGAATTGAGCCTTCTAGAGTGTCTACGAGCAATTATGGACTGACAAACGGACATGGGTGACGGCAATATATGCCCCACTGCCTCCCATTCCATGTAGGCATATAAAATTGGGGTACAAAGACAACCATTTATTATCACACAAGTTTCACATAACATCTAAAATTAAAATCAAACATGCTTAAGTTCAGGATGAGAAGGTGATTATTAATGTTTATAAACTGAATGTTCCACTCCCAAATGATTTTTCTGTACATGATTTTTCAATGTCTCTCTACGCTTAAATATAGAGCCACAAATTGAACATGGGTATTTTCTGTTGGAATGATTTTCTTTCACATGGCGTTTTAATATATTTACTGTAGTGTACATTTTTGGACAGTATGGACACTGTTCTTTTTTTCTTAACTGAAATAGACAAAAAATAAGATATTCAAAGAGCATGTCAATATTGTGCCACAACTAATTAAAAGTCATTATACTAATAGGGCAAAGATGTACCTGCAGAATGGTGCTTGGTTAGATCTAAAGTTTGCTAAAATATTACACACTCTAGATATATGTTTCAACTTAAATACATGTATCTAGATAAGTCATATCAGTGTTAATTAAGTGAGTTCAATAATATTATTTATTAAGCCATTGAGCATCTTAACTTGAAATATGTAACAAATTTTTGGTGATGTTACAAATCTTGTATTATTAAGTACAATTTACAAATACACCAGCTATTTGCAGTTGAATGCAGACAACAACTATATTAACAATAAAGATAAGAATTCCAGGCAATAAACTATAACTTTGTCTGAAATTATGTTCTTGGTGCACTAAGTTACAAAATCTAGAAAAGTCAAAAAGCGTTACATAAAAATACTCTCAAGAGTATTCAAGACTTCAATGCCTTCCTGTATACAAACAAAATTTAGAGTGATAAAAACAGTATTGAAACCACAATCTCAAGTAGAAACATAATTTTTGTTTACCAAGATGAAATCAGACTAAATTACCTTCATGTTGCTTGATAAAGAAGATGAGTTAAATGAAATCTTTTGATGTGTTGTTTTAAGTTGGGATGTTGTGTGTATGATTTGTAACAGAAAGGGCATCTAAAACGTATGTTAAGGTGTGAATGGATATGCCTCACTAAATGGCATTTCTGATTATACTTATTACCACACATCTTACAACTTCTACCATCCTCAGATATATATTCTTCTATCTACAAAATACATAAAATATTCCTTATACATGGATCATAAATAGACATATAAAGGTGTGTTCATAGTGTATCATATAATCTGTTACAGTTCAGAAATCTCTAGATTGATTTCAAGAAATTAGTTGATAAACTAAATGGTCACAAAAAGGGATATAACTGATTAAAACTGGCAACAAGTGCAATTTTTTAGATGAAGATACGCTCTGTTCAACAATAGATCAGATTTTCAAAAAACTGACAGTTGCTTGCAGTCTTCTAAAATCCAATATCTCAGACCAACATAGTAAGTTCTACTTTTGACTTATGTTGGCTTTATTCATTAAGATAAATAACATGACTTGTTTCGAAGATGAATTTTCATTTATTAGAGTACAGTTAGATAAGACACCAATAAAATTACAAATGATACTACTTAATCATTCCCAACATTATGAAAGTATAGATTATATTTAATCATAACACAGTAAACTATACTTCAGTACTTCCCCACAAGTTCAACACACATTGCAACATACAGTTCTCAAACTCAATGTATTACTGTCAAAGTCACAATTCAATACATATATGCAGTTCCAAAAGTCCAAATGAATTTAGTTTAAAGTCACAATTCAATATGCTGTTCCCAAAGTTACAATACATTTCTCAAAGTTACCATTCAATAAAGTTCACATTCCAAATATTTGGTTCATAGTCTCAATTTATAATAATGTTCAATGTTTTGTAAAACATTTTCATTATCAAAAACGTCATAAATTATACCTGAAAATATTTCTATATCTATGTATCAACATGTTTTCAGGTTTTGTCTTGCGATTCGCATCGCTTGTGCTGGGTTTATTTATTTTTTTTATGCAATTCTAGATAACGTTCACAATTCTTTATGATTTCATACATTGTTCATTACCACACAATTTATAATCATTAATATGATCTACAAGTGGTCTTTCATCTGCATGATTGAAGAAGCATGTGACATCCTAATATGTTTGGTTAAATTGGGTTTTTGAGAGTAAGATTTATGACATATTGGACATGTGAAACGTATCTTTAAATGTACTTGGATATGTCTTGCAATATGCTGCTCAAAAACTTTCCCACATATTTTACAGGTATGACCATCTTCTGATACAAACTGAGCAACCTACAAACAGAAATAACACGTTATTTTCTTCGACAGCTTCAATTATCTTGCATATTTTTAATCAAATTTTACTATCAAAAATCTCAATTTTTACAATATTGTCTTCCTACACTGTAATAAAGTAAATAA